AAAAAAAACATTGAAAATTAAAGGGAATAAAATGTCCCCATTTTTAACAACCTCTTTTTGAATTTCTCCCTTTGCTTTTCAAATACGATTTAACTTGCTTGGTAGAGGCTTCCATATCCAGACGCACTGCTTGTTTCCAGGGTGAGACACTCTGGTTAGAATTTTTCCATCCACATAAACCTTGGTAAAACTGAGAACATCCAGTGATCCCTAGAAAAGAGTTGAAGAGAGAGGGATTCGAAGAATTTGACAGCAAGACAGTATCCAGTATAAATATAAACAGTATGATCTACAGAACAAATGTAAAACATTCTTGTAAATTGATGAATCAAAGAGCCCCTATTGGGGGAGAAGGGGGTCTTGTTATCCCTTATCCCTTAATTTATTTGTCCAGTTATCCCTTATCCCTAAAACACCTAACAGGGCCTCAATGATTGATGGATTGACTGATAATCAATAATTTTTAAGGAAAAATATACCAACAACATCAACAAAATTATTGAGAGCTTGCGAACGCAAATGTCCGAAGCCTAAAAAAGATCAGGGAATCATTGTTAACAAAGAAAACTGTAGAAAGAGATTAATGATCTACTAGTATGGATATAGATCGAGAGCAATTACCTACTAGAACACCTTGGTCACCTAGTTGAGTGGTGCTGGCGTCTTGATTGATTTAGCTCCACACCACAAGTCTTCCGATTCCACACCTGTACATGCATTGTGCATTCTTGTAAACGAAGGGAAACTCGCAACACCCTCCATCAGTCGTACTAGTAACAGAGGCACCGCTGAGCGTGCATCGCGCGCTCGGACACTCCGCCATTAACTACTGCTAGTAAAATTTGTATATCAATACGCCTGTAGCCGCAATGCAAAATACAGAACTTACTGTAAAGGGTAAAAGCTTCCCACGTCGTAAGTGGCCGCAAGAAGACCATCAGATCCCTCAGCGAGCCACGGGTTTTTCTCATTGAGTCCTTTTTGAGACCAAGCTCATATGTCGTGTGATATGTCGGATTGAGGTCAATATCGTGTCCTGTATAATGTTGTTCTCCTGCGTACGCACCATTCAAGTACAACTTTCCTATCCGGGTAGAGCGATCCCAGACAAATACCACGTGTGTCCAAATTTTTTGATGAACGTCTCTAAAATATAATAGTAAATTAATATAGCTTAGAATCATTTAAAATCCGAATGCATTGATATACGTCCTACTCGAGACTACTTCTATACCACCATACTTTTCATGTTGAATTTGGAAAAGGCAATAATTCGTCCCATTTAAAGTCTATCAACAATCGAAGAAAAATCATGACAATTAAATACGGTACCACTAATTAACCGAGAGTGACAGTGGACTTTGTTAGACGGAACACTCGCAGTAACACTGATTCCATCACTCAGACCAACGTAATCTCTGGCCCTGTTACGACAGGTTATTACAGGGAAATAATGCCCGCTTAGCAGCTAATCAGAGCGCCCGTGATATTGTAGCCATATAATAAATGCCCAGTAATCTTTTGATGGGCACGCAGCACAGTTGTTGCTGCCGTGTTATCGTCTATCATAAGGTTACTCCTCACTCCCCGGTATTCAATAACAGGTGGAAAAGAACCCATGTAGAAAGTCGTGAGAACGCGTTTTCACTCACCGATTGCTCGCCATAAAAAGCAAACGCTGCTCTACACCACTTCTTCTCAATTCCACGTAAACTTTTCTGTAATGCACAAACAGTCTAAACTGCCATGGTGATGACCAATCTGATATGAGATGTCCTTCACTCTTTGAATCGCGAACGTTAAATCGAAGGGCGATTGAAAAGCTGCTCTTCCTGAAATTGATTGCAGGAATTTCTGCGTAACCAGATATTCCGTCAAGATGCAAAGATTTAATTCCTCCATTAGTTTGGTATGAAGCAGTACCTTCCAATCTAAAATCATATGGGATAATGTAGGTTTCTTAGCTTGGCCAGAGTTTTTAGCGCATGACATATTTCGATACTCAGAGAAGCAAAACGTAATGACTTAGTAAGGTAGCTGAACACAGTTTTGTGGCACGTCAGCGGTAACTCGCGTGACGGCGCGTGTTTTAGTAGAGCTGCGCGCAGTTACTGTTTATAGACCAGAAACTCAGACAAACAATCTGAAATTAACATTAGCGAATTCCTCATTTTTATCCGACTTTTGTCATTAAAATGTCATGTTTGTCTGTTTTTTGTCAGTAAAACAAGAAAAATGACAAAACTCAGACAAAAATTGAAAATCTGTCACTTGGACGTCATTCGCTCGCTACGCTATTAGACAAACAAACATGGAGGCGAAAAAAGCACTGGTACACAGAAGACGATTTCTCAAAATCTGCTCGTTAAAATTTTGTGATATTTGGCAGAATTTTTACTTTTATCGTATTTTGAATAATGAGAAATTTAAAATAGAAGTTGAACACATGATTTTTGTGACACATTTAATAATTACAGTACAATTATAATATTGATTATCTGAAAACCCGTCTGTTAAAATTTGGTCAGATAAGTTTCAAATGGTAATGATTAATTATAGTAAGCTGTGTGCAAGTTTATAGGAAAATCAAATGAGCTTATTCTATGCAAACTGAGCAAAAGCGAAATTTTAAGGTTGTATTCAATCGTTCGTGGTGCCATGGAAACTACGAAAACGTCAAATTTTACCTGTCAATCAAAATCTTTCATCAGTTTATTTTTCACTTGCCAAGTTTCAGCTTGTAAGCTGTAACCTTTCTCTTGCCATGATTTGGCAAATGACATATACTCTCAAACTGCCAAAATTGTGTTCAGCCACCTTAAGTAGCAACTGCGATTACATTTGTAAGGAGGGATCTCCCATGTATTCTATATTTGATTCGAATTTCATATCTAGCTTTTAAATATTCCCTTTGAAGTGGTGTTAGCCATAATTTACATTGAATTTGCATTGAGTTGTTTTAGTTCCCTTAAATCATAAACATTTTACTTCAATGTTTACTTTTAAAAGGATAATTTGTTTCTGGATAATTATTATAACTTAGTGACTGAATAACTGGATCTTTGGCCTGTTCAAATACCAACCGTTCAGTCGTAGTTTTTAGTTTTGACATTTTAGGGAATCCTGAACAAAGGAAACTCGAATTCCTTTACACAGCTTTCTTTGTAGGTTTCCTAAATTCACTTGCTTGACTGACCTTTAACATATGAACTTTAAACCAGAATTTATCCAGAACTGTTTTTTCTGTTCAGCTGATTTTATTCAGCCTTCTTTCCATTTGTTTTGTGATGTTGTAATAAGTTGATCGCTTAGTGTAAATATAGCACTGTTATTCCTGTTTTTCGATTTACATTGCGGATTTATATGCTTGTACGATTTACATTGCGGAGTCCTATGCTTGTACGATTTTTCATCGCGGATTTATTTGACGTCCACGAACTGAAGATTAAACTGTTGAAGTCCAAGTTTGAGTCCTGTCCTGTTTCCAGTTGTAGCAGATCCTAGTACCTTGGAATAGTGACACGTTCCTTTCCCGCTAGCCAAGCGAGTTGCAGAGTTAGTTTTACCCCTTGTTGTTCTTACGGCGAAGTCGCCCGAGTTCTCTTTACGCTTATTTCCCCGATTTGTGCTTGGAAGGGCAAAAACGTATCGTCACAGTGGTTAGAGAAACAGTGCAGCTTCAACTGGAACACTTAAGGACAAGCAAGAAGAAAGCAGTTACGACGAGCTTAATGGTTCGTAGCCAGGCTATGTAAATCGCTGATGAAAAGCTTTTAGTCGCCCAAGTACTCGAGTAACACCTATTTGTTGACCTATATGCATTCTGTGAAGAAAGTATTAACGAAGACTTTGCCAAGATATTGTTTGAGAGGCCGCAAGCGCTACGCTCCCCTTTTCAAGCCTGTTGTGTCCGTAGCAACCAAGAAACATAGGCCGATTCATCCGACGAAGACCGTGAAGCTTTATTTGCCGAGTTACCTTTTCATTTTCTTTCAAGTCCCGAAAGCGACACCGAAGTTAAAGAGCACATAAATCCGAGTCCAAGTTATACGTATCCAATCCCACAAGTTCCAGAGACATCCCGAGATCAATCGCATTCGACGGCAACGCGCCCGTGGACGGTTCATCTCGCCGTATCAAGTCGGGGGGACGATCTTTGGCAAGTCCACCATGGCGCGCTATCCCTTGATGCACACCTCCTCTCGCCTATTGGAACCCTGGAGGATGACGCAACGCCTACGCCGCCAGATGAAAGGGGGCACGATTTTTGGCACGTCCACTCGCATGGGGGATCCCATGAAGGTCCTCGCGGCAGACCAAGAAAACGCCAGAATGACACGCTGGATCCGGCAACGGATGAAAGGGGGCACGATTTTTGGCATGGGGGATCCCAGGCAGGTGTTGTGGGCGAACCAAGAAAAAGCCAGGAGGCAACGTAGGCGAAAGGGTATAAAAAGGGGACGACGTTAAAACCACATGAACAGTCCGCACCATATCGCTCCAACTGTTTGACGTGCCCGATGTGGATTATCGGTACGAAGCCTCTCGGGAGGTGGAGTTTCAACCCGCCTTGACAGGCATCCAGTCCATCACGTTCTCCATTCCGGGCTCCGACGATTATTACGATCCCAATTCCCTCCGATTCAAAGTCAAAGTGCGTCTGACTGATCCAGCGGCTGGGTATGAAGGATTGCAAGCCAATCTGGCCAACTCCGATGCCAACAATACCAGGAACACCTACTGCGTCAACAATTTTGGGCACTCCATCTTTCGAGATATCACCTCCTACCATTACAGAGCCTACCTAGAAACCCTCTTGAACTACACCAGAGAAGAAGGAGCCACCAAGTTAGCCCCTCAAGGATGGGTCAATCAGCTGAATGTGGTGAATATCATGGGAGCCACAGGAGCCAATTCCGATACCCCCACGGGCGCTGATTGGAGTGGCAATACAGAATTGCGTGCCTTGACCAGCCGGTTGCTAGAGAAGCATTGGCACACCTTCCTCATTCAACCCCATTTGCCACCCCTCAGGACAGGCAAATTGTTGGTCCCCAATGTCCAGATGGACTTTGAACTCTTCCTCAACCCCAACACCGTCTACTTGATGGGCACCCCAAACAAAGGAACCTTGAACGCCAAAAAATTTCCAGCCATTCACCCAGAAGACATCAAAGTCACATTGCTGATGAGAAAAGTGACCTTGAATGCCAGCGTCTATGTCAGACTGCAGAAAGAAAGACAGCTGGGCAAACAGATTGCCCGCTACCCAGTGGTGCGGAGCGAAATCCGCACTTTTTCCTTCGATGGACGAACCACCCAATGGGAACAAGACAATGTGTTTGTGGGTCGATTTCCTGACCGAGTGATGGTCGGGTTACTGCATTCCAATACCTTCAATGGAGACCTACAAAGATACCCCTATACCTTTGAAAAGTTTGGCGTCACTCAAATACGTCAGACCTTGAATGGAAAAGAATACCCTTACAGAACCCTGCAACTCACTGGAGCAGAAGACTATGAAGATCTGCTAGGGTACGATCGATTTCTACAAGCCATGGGTGCCTACACTGAAAACAAGATTCCCATGCTGCTGCCTGGTGATTGGGGACAAGGCAAGAACTGCACGTTGTTCATGTTCAACAATGTGCCCAGTGGAAAAGCGGATGACCCCCAGTATCGCAACCCCCGTCAATCGGGCAATGTGCGACGGATCATTGATTTTGCTGCTGCTGTCAATCACAACATCACCGTGTTGGTATGAAGCGAGTATGAAAACATGTATGAGATCAATCATCTGGGAGGTATAAAGTACAACATCAACGGCTGACGTTGCCTCAGAAGACAGAAGACACCGGTCATGGAGTTTGTGGCGCTCAGTGATACTGTGTTGCGGACCCTGGCCCTAGAAGATCCCCAATTATGACGCGTGTTTCACGGCGTGTACCCGGCCGACCAGCTACCCCGATCACCCCCCACATCGGTCCGTCAAGCGTACATTGTCAACACCGATCCTGCGGGAGAACCGGGACAGCATTGGTTGGGTCTGTGGACGGAACAGAACAAGTGCGAGGTCTTTGACAGTTATGGTCTCCCCCTGCACGTGTACACCAACCCGGACCTGCACCAATGGTGGAGTCAATGGAAGCACCTGATTCGCAGCGACATGACCCTGCAAGCCCTGGATAGTCAGACGTGTGGCCATTATGCGTTCTTTTTCCTGAAAGCCCGAGCCCAAGGCCAGTCGTATCAAGAATTTTTGAGTCAATGGAGTTGCGACAACTTAGTGTTGAATGATCAGAAAGTGGCCGAACGATTGAAACGTGTGATTAAACAGGAATTACAAGATGAAGTGGATGCCCGACCTGAAGGGGGGCAAAAGAATGTGAGCCGCCAGGCCTTTATGCATTGTAATCATTGTGAGTGTTAAAAATTAAAAAACCCATAAAAACGAGGCGTGCTGTCTTGGAGAAGTCATTTTATCTCATCATGATTACGCGAGCCGATGTACAGCGTGTGATCGATGCGTTCCTATTAGAAGAAACCCTGTATTGGTGGTTACACCCCATCGAGCGGGTGAACACGGTCCAAGGCGTCGATGCCTGGGATGGGTATCATTGGTTGATGGCCCGACAACTGGCCCAAGACCAGGACTGGGTCTCTCTCAAACACTACATGGACACCATGAGTGAAACGCATTTAAGAGAGACCATGGAACATCTCATTCAGTTCGAGTCGCCACGACTCTACCGCGAGTATTGGACGGCATGCCCAGTCGCAGACAACGACGACGACGACGCGCTTCCTCCCGACGACCCTGCTTTCGTCAAAACGGGCGGGGGATCATGAGCGTGCTGGCCAAAGCGGCCAAAATCGGTTATAAATTGGTACGTAGCAAACGGTATAAACGTATGGGAGCCAAAGGGGCCACAGGTCATTATCGACGTCTGCGTCGACCGTGGGAAGGATGATCCGACACCCCAGTGGTGTGATTGTGGCTGGCCCGTCGGGCAGCGGCAAGAGCGAGTTAGTGGAACAATGGTTACGGTACCTCAACGTGTTTCAAGTCAAACCCAACAAGATCGTCTATGCGTAAGACCGATGGCAACCCCGGTTCGACCGTATGCAAAAGAAGGATGGGATTCAGTTTCATCGCGGGTTACCGGACCCCCGTCATTTGACCCAATGGTTTGGTCGGAGGCGCGGAGGGGTGTTGGTGTTGGATGATCTGATGGAAGAAGGGGGACAAGACAAACGCGTGTTGGATTTGTTCACCAAAGATTCCCATCATCGCAACATCACCGTCTTGTATTTGACGCAAGATTTATTCCCGCCTGGCAAATTTTCCAAGACCATCAATCGCAACGCGCATTACATCGGGGCCTTCAAGAATCCCCGGGATCAAACGGGTATACGGACCATTTTACTGCAAGCCTTTCCCGACCGATGGCGTCAAGTCTTGCGCCTATTTAAACGCGTCACGTCCCGTCCCTTTGGCTATTTGATGTTGGATGTGCATCCGGCGTTGGATGATCGGTACCGCTTGTGGAGTCATTTAACGCCCCGAGAAGGCAAGGCGCAAGTGCATACCCTCCCCGTGGATGTCCCTGCCGTTCGAAAACGAGCTGCAACGAGAACTCGCCAGGGTCCGCCGGCAAAGAGAAGGTGGACAACAACTTGACTTATCGACCCGCATGGACACTCCAACCCTCTCGCCCGCCGGGGTGGGCTCCCCCACCGCACCTCCTCCCCTCCAGGACCTCAGCAGCATGACGGACATGGTGACCGAATTGACCCGCCCGGTCGATCGAGCCCAATTGGATCAAGAGATTGAGGATTTTAATTTGACCTACCCGGTCAATGTGGACGATGCTTTGAATGCGTTTACGCTACCGCCCGTGGCAGGCACAGGCACCGCCCCGGCCACCACCATCACCACCACGGCGACCCAAACCCGTCACACCACGTCCACTCGAACACGCTCCACCACCACCACCACCAGCTCCAGACGACCCAGACCACGACCTGTCACCACCGCCACGACCACCACCGCTCCTTCACGCCCCTCCACCACCCGCCGCAGTGCCGGGGCAGGGACCAGGACCACCACCTCCACGATGACGACCCCGACAGGACGTCCCACCATCGCGGCCAAACAACCGCGACGACGTCCCCGAGTGCTCTCTCCTCCGTCCCCCGATTCGTCCCCTCCTCCGTCGGAGGACGACGATGGCGATGAGGACGATGGACGATCGACGGCGGGGATGAAGGCGACGGTTGGATTTGCTCAATGAAGATGCTCAAGAACGTGCTCGAGGGAGGCGCATTCGCAATATCACGCATACCAATACCGTTACCACGTTGTACGAAGAGGGAGGGGGTCCTTCCGTGCGCCACACCTCTACGCGAACCTCCAGTCCAAGTCCACCACCGCCACCCCGCCAAGGACGTGGTCGTGACCGTGGCCGAGCCCGTGGACGGGGTCGACGACCGTGAAAACAAGATATAAAAAACAGTGTCCTTCCTTCTACCGTCCCAGTACCATGTGTGGCCAACGTCGAAGCGCAATGTGTGGCAAATGTCGAAGCGCCAAACGCAAACGCCCACAACGTCGGCGTAGGATGAAGGGTGGGATAGGACCGTTCCTAGTGGATTGGAAGAAAGGCATTGAGTTGTTGAAGGACAAGGATATGTGGAAGATTCCTTCTAAAGCCGAAGAAAGGGCCACCAAACAAATGGTGGCCAACTACAAACGTCAGTATCGCGCTAGTGGCAGCAAGGACTCGTATGGAACCTGGGCGAGAAAGAAGGGTTATACCAGAAGACCTGATTGCAGCTTGATGTGACATGTATAAAAGAGGCTCGTGGTGCACCACACTCAAAAGGATCTGTCATGGGACCCCGACGCAAACGCCAACTCACCACGACCCGACGTCGACCCCCCGCCAAACGACCACGGCGTATGACCTATGGTCAAGTGGGGGGTGTCTCGCCTGGCCTGCCTATCGGGATTCTTAAAGCCGGCTATAAGGGCACTAAAGCCATCGGGGAACATCAAACCAAACGCGCCATCAAAATTGGCGAAAAACGCCGACGAGAAGTGGAATCAGGCAAACGGAAACGCTATGCGGGGGAATCGTTTAATTGTTCCATCATGTAATGAAAATGTATAAAAAGACCTGGGTGGACCTGGACAGGTGTTAGTTGGACGATGGTCCGTGGACCCAATGGACGCCGACATCGTTATGTCCCCCGAATACGACGCCGTCGACGTGGATTGCAACGTGGAGGCGTGCTCCCCATGTTGGCAGTGGCTCTCTCGCCTGGGGCGTTTAAGAGGAAGAAACGCCCACGGCGGGCGCACCGACGTTGAGGGGACCACTCCCAAGAAAAGAAAAGCCGTCATGTTTGCTTTGGACTGGGACGAACAGTATGACGCGGTCCTGTGTTCACGGTGTCGAGATCACATGCAAACGCATTATCATGGCGAATTGTGTGGCAGGTGTGGGGCCATTTTTACCATAAATAGACCTTGGTCCTTGCCTGAACTCAAGATTCATCATGTAGTGGCGCATGGAACGTCAAGCCCCGTTCTTAAAGCGTCTTACAAGAAGCCAATCAACACAAGCGACAAGAATTGTTGCGGATGGCGAATGCGGATCAGATCAATGCGATTAGTGAATTGGTGATGAACACCCTCCGTGGCACCGTCCCGCGTTCCCGACACACCATCACGTTGCTCAAACCCCACGCCCAGAGTTTACGCGCCATGGCCAAACCCGCGCATTCTGTGAAACGACGACGCGCCATCATGATGGCTCAAAAAGGCGGTGCCCTCTGGCCTGAACTCTACCGATGTTATAAACGTTGCATGCGCTAGACAAGACACCTCAGTTGCACCATCGAACCCGAGATGGTGAGCACCACGGTGGACAACGCCCCTGCTTTTTTACAATTAAGAGACAAGTACAACAAGAATTGGTGGAAGATACCCGCTTGACCAAAGCCGCCGATTTGGCCGCCAAACAACATGTGCTCCTGACAAGTGATGCCCCCGATGCCTGGAAACGGCCTCAACTCAAAGCCGTGAGCCGTCAATTACGCCATTGGACCAAAAAAGTTCGCCAACCGTTTGGGGCCCCGACCGGTGGTGTGAGCGCGACAGGGGCCACGACCCCTGGCGACGATGACTTTGAGGCGGGCCCTATGCAGGCGTGGTTTACGCAATTGGTCAAGGCGACCCAGGGTATAAAACAAGGGTCCACGCCTGGTGGGCCCAGAAAACCACCTGTCCCGCCCAAACCGAACATCACCCCCAGTGCCAAAAAGAAACTCAAGTTTACGCCCCAGGTGAGCAGCGCCGAGTTGGCACACGAGTTGCCCTTTTCAGAGGAGCCTGGAACAGAACCCTGGGATACCCCCAGTGAACGTGTGGACTCCATCAAGAAAGCGGTCAAGCACGGGATTGGCAAAAAAGCCGCCGGTGTAGCCAAAAAGAAAGCCGCAGGTCTGGCCAAGAAAGCGTTGGATTGGAAAACGTGGAAAACCCCGTGATGGGACGGACCCGGAGACGCCGTGCTGCTGCACCCCGTGCCCGACCGAGGCGACGACGATCGCAACGCGGGGGCAAGTTATTTGATGTGCAAAACCTCCTCAACAAGACGGGCATTGAATTTCATTGGCCCGGCTATCAGTACATGGGACCTGGGACCCATTTGAAAAAAAGATTGGCCCGTGGGGATCCCGGCATCAACCGGTTAGACAGGATTGCTAAAGTGCATGACATGGACTATGATAAAGCCAAGACGTTAAAAGATAAATGGGTGGCGGATCGCAAGATGATTGCCAAGATTGATCAACTCCCTGGCCGCAAAACCCTGACGGAGCGCATTGTCAGACGCATTATGAAAACCAAACTGAGATTGGGCATGTGAACACGAACAACATTAACATAGTCATAAAAAGACAACCTTGTTGAATTGCCACAACAATAAACTCATATTGTTCTTACAAATACTGGTCCATTTGCTGCAACGCGTTCGCACGAAGGGTTTGTACTGTATCCTCCTCAGGCTCGGACTCAGCCCACTCTAACGGTAACCACGGGAGGGGAAAGGGACGGTCCAATTGCTCGTCCAACCATTGCCAGCGTTGACGTCGAATCGATTCCATCCGCTGCTCATATTTTCGTTTCTGCAAGGCTTTCCACCCCTCCTCGCCTAAGGCTCGCTTTTTCTCCGCTTGCAACGCCCGCCGCCGCACATTCAACCGGTGTTTGTAGGCCTCGTAGGTCCCCTCCTCCTTCAATCTCTGCATCCAGTTCTTTTGACATTGCGCGTTCCTACGTTTCACCTCATTGCGCTTTTCCTCGGACATGGCATGGTAGCGTCGCATGCCCTCCTGGACCTTTTTGGCTTTGAAGGCCTCGTACTCTCCGTTGGCTTTCATTCGCGCCATGCGTTTGTTGTAACGACGACGGTGGAGGGCTTTCACCTCCTCGATCCCGTTCACGGCCGCATACTTTCGCTGTCGATACAGTTTTTGATTCCGTTTATTTGTCTCGGGATCCCTCTTTTTCTTGGGCTGGCTCGATCCGGGCGTATCCATGCTCTATTTCGATTAACCGGGCGGCACACACGTCTCCTAAGGCACGTAACTTTCGAAATGGACTCTCTCTGGTCTGTCGATTCCTGGCACGACGGTCCCGCTGCTGCTGCACAATTTGCTCGCGGTGACGGTGGTAATAGTCCCGATTCAGTTGACGTACTTGGACCAAATTTTTCTTTCGATACCGTAGACGGGCCAGTCGGTTGGACTCTCGGGCTTTGGCTTTCTGTTCTGGCGTGGGGGGTTGTTTGGGTGGACGTGGTGGTTTGAGCTTTTTCTGGGCCGCACGCCGTTCACGTTTCTGTTGCAACACTCTCTCTTTGTTTTTCATATACCACTCGTGCTTTAACTGTTTCGCCTTCTCTGGATTTTTGTTGGGCATCTCGAACACAACTGACGTCTGTTCTGGACGATGGACTAATATCTAGGGTTCCCTCCACCAATCACTGATCTCGGTCCAGGCCCAGAGGAGACTGAAGGAATCTGTACCCATGGGGGGGGGGGACCACCCCTGATCTTCCTCCTGTCGATCAACCCCCTCACCTGACTCTCGCCTGAGCCTTGTCTACCAATCCCTGTTGGTGAGGGATCACATGGTTAGGTCTATAAAAGTCAACGTCCAGCACGGGAATTTCAAATTGTGTTTACGCCGTCACGGCGGAGGAGTATCTCTTGAGTGACGATGAAGAGGGGGATGCTCTGTTGGACCGTGCCTTTGACCGGTGGGAACAGTTGGGAGGGGCTGCCGCCCGTGGCCCTCTCTTTCAATTCACCATGCAACCTATAGGTCGACGACGCCGCTGGCGTGATGTGGTGGAGCGAGCACAATTCATTGCGCAATTACGGCAATTGCGGGATCCTGTCCCTGGGGATAATATTGGCATGGCTTTGACCGAAGCGTTACACCAAGCCATTGAAACGGAACTCGGCCTCGAGCAGCGACCTGCCCATCATTTTGTCAATTTTGCCATTACAGCTCATGGGTTCACCCACGCTTATCAAACAGCCAATTTCACCGTGGGGGAGTTTTTACAACGCACTGCTCGTTTGGATGAGATGTTGGCCACCTTGGCTGGCAAGTTGAATAGCAATGAAGCCTTCAACCCCGATCGCGGTTTCCAAGTGGATGTGGTGTTTGTCTCCATGCCTGGCCGAGGGTCTGGTCGACATAAACAACGCAATGTGGGACGTCTATGCCTGGATCAAGAGAACAAGAAAAAAAAATGCATCATCCCCATCCGAAACAGAGATGCCCTATGCTGTGCCCACGCCATCGTCACCATGCGAGCCCACTGCCATAAAGATCAAGGTGTGGACGAGTTTCGCGACTGGGAGAATCTCAAACGTGGGTTTCCGGTGCAGCAACGTCAAGCCCGGGCCTTACATCAGCAAGCGAGCGTCGCCGAGGGTCCCTGTGGTTTACCCGAGCTTCGCCAATTTCAACAAGCGTTGGGGTCTCAATATCAACTCTTGGTGATGACCCGGATGAAACCATTTTTTCTGATCTTCAAAGGACCCACCGCCCCTCATCAAATTCGTTTGCTGAAATCCCATGATCATTTTGATGGCTGCACGTCCTTTCCTGCGTTTGTGAATCGTTCCTACTATTGCCTGGACTGTGAACGGGGGTTCAACACCAACGACCGCACCAATCATACTTGTCAAGGGAGACGCTACAAAGCGTGCGGTCGATTTGATTGTCAAGATTATGTGCGCGGTACCCGCCCCACGGAGTATTGCAGTCTGTGTCACCGCATGTTTTACGGTGCCTATTGCAAACGTCATCATGTGGACAGCAAGCAATGTCAATCGATCAAAACCTGTCTCAAGTGTCAGGCCCAGTACACGGTCGTCCCTAACAAACGTCACCAGCGCGGGCACGCCAAATGTCCCGTGTGTCGAGCATGGGTGCCCATCCAAGACCACAAGTGTTACATTCAACCCGTGGTGGAGGACGAGGAAGAGTCTGAACCAACCGAGGAGGGGGGAGGTTGCATGGTGGCGCCACCCCCTGCCCTGTTTGTTTACGCGGATTTTGAAGCCATGCAGAATGCAGAGGGAGTGTTTGTGGCCAATTTGTTGTGTTATTCGTGCAGTGAAGAAACCACTATTCATGTATTGGACGGGGAGGACTGTGCCCTACAATTTTTGCATGATTTAGATGATCTCACCGACATCCCGGACAACGAGGGAGAGCGGGAGATTCATGTGGTGTTTCACAATTTGAAAGGTTTTGACGGCATGTTTATTCTCCATGAATTGTACCAGCAACAACGCGAGGTGGTGGATCAACTGACTGTGGGCGCTAAAGTCTTGTCCTTCAGGAGCGGACCCCTCAAATTCATTGACTCGTTTTGTTTCTTGCCCATGCCACTCGCCTCCTTTCCCAGCACCTTCAATTTGACTGAATTAAAGAAGGGCTTCTTTCCTCATTTGTTCAACACCCCCGACCATCAACAGCACGTGGGTCGGATCCCCGATTTGGAATTTTACGATCCCGAGGGTATGATGGTCAAAAAGAAAGACGAACTGACCCGTTGGCATGCGGACCAAGTCCGTCGTCATGTCACGTTCAATTTCAAGCAAGAAATGATCGACTATTGCAAATCAGATGTGGCTCTGTTGAAAGCGGGTTGTGAAGCCTTTCAGCAAGAATTTGAACGGCAGGCTGGCTTCAATCCCATGGCCAAGTGCATCACGATCGCCAGTGCCTGTAATCTGTATTGGCGTAAGCACCATCTCACCCCAGATACTATCGCCGTCGAACCTATGGGAGGTTGGCGAGGGGCCCAGGTCAACCAATCCCTCAAGGCCCTGCAGTGGCTCTATTACCAAGAACACCTCCTTCCCAAGGAGGGGGCCTGTGCCGACCATATTCGACACGTTCGGAATGGGGGCGAACAGTCTGTTCGGACCATCGCCAATAGTTATTTCGTCGATGGGTACGATCCCCTGACCAGTACTGTCTACGAGTTTCATGGGTGTCTCTACCATGGCTGTCCCTGTTGTTATCCCAACCGATCCGTCAAGCATTATGCGGTGCCAGACCGAAGCGTGGAGGAACTGTATTAGGCCACGCTCTCCAAACGCATGGCCCTGCTCCGAGCAGGCTATACGGTGATCGAAATGTGGGAGTGTGAGTGGGACAAACTGGTGGACACGGATGAAGCCGTCCAACGTTTCCTGAAGTCATTCGATCTCCCCCCACCCCTGGAACCTCGCGAGGCCTTTTTTGGGGGTCGCACCGGCGCAGTGGCCCTGCATGCTGTGGCTGGGGAGGGTGAGGAGATACGCTATGTGGATGTGACCTCCCTGTACCCGTGGGTGAACAAGAACTGCTCTTACCCTATTGGTCATCCGACGATCATCACGCAACCTGCAGACCAGTCCCTGGATTCGTATTTTGGATTGGCCACCGTGGACATTCTTCCCCCGGCTGGCCTATTCCACCCCGTCTTGCCTGTACGCTGTGGCCAAAAGCTCACCTTTCCTCTCTGCCGCGCCTGTGTCCAGACAGAGCAAGCCCAACCCATGTTGACCAGAACCCACTATTGCCCTCATTCGGACGCTGATCGTATGCTACGTGGGACCTGGTGCACCCCTGAGTTGGTCAAGGCCGTCGAAAAGGGGTACACTCTCGTTAAGATCCACGAAGTCTGGCATTTTCCCCCCGAGCAACGCCACACAGGACTTTTCGCCAATTACGTCAACACCTGGTTGAAGTTGAAACAAGAATCCGCGGGGTGGCCCAGTTGGTGTCAGACCCTCGAGCAGAAACGAGAGTACATTCTCCGCTACCAGGAACGAGAGGGCATCCGACTGGACATCGCCAGCATTGCCAAAAATCCTGGTCGCAAGGCCACTGCCAAACTGATGTTGAACAGTTTCTGGGGCAAGTTTGGCGAGCATATCAACAAACCCACCACCGTCACTGTCCAATCCCCTGCCCATTTGTTCAGGCTCATCTCCGATGCTGCTCTCGATATCAGCACTCTCCGCCTCTGTACCGACGACATCTTGGAGGCCGTTTACACCAGTGTCCAAGACAATGCCGTCAAAGGCACCAAAACCAACATCTTTGTGGCGGCTTTCACCACGTGCCATGCTCGGCTCAAGCTCTACGAGTCCCTCGACACCCTTCAACAGCAAGTCCTTTACTATGATACCGATAGTGTTGTGTACAAGTGGCGTCCCAATCAACCCTCTATTACCACGGGTGATTTTCTGGGAGACATGACCGACGAATTGGATGGGGACGTCATTACTGAGTTCGTTTCTGGGGGCGCCAAGAATTATGGGTACCAGACCCGTGGAGGCAAAGTGGTGTGCAAGGTACGCGGTTTCACCTTGAATGTTCGGGGGTCGGCCATCCTCAATTTCAACACCATGAAAGACAATATTCTCTCGGAATTAGACTCGCCTCAGGATTCTCGCCGACAATTGAACATTGTCACCCCTTATTATTTCAAACGGGATTTAGAGAAGAAACAAATTCAAGTGGTTCCGCGCGTGAAGCAGTATGGGTTGGTGTTTGACAAGCGCGTCATCGATGTGGCTACCCGATCCAGTTTTCCCTATGGCTACGAAAGGATTGGGGATGAACTCGACCTCTTGTTAGATTTGTAAAAAAATGGGCGTGACGTCATTAGGACCTCACATACGTCCCGCTTGTTACCAGGTTCTACGCGGTCTGTTCATTAAAACTATGTGAAATATGTGGATCAAACACTTGTGTGTGCGTGTTCTTTTTCCCATGGGGTCACGTGAATTTTTATGCCCAAATATGGGCATTGTGACGTCAATGAGGTCACGTGTGCTAAATGCTTGATTCTGATTGGTCGAAAAAATGGATACTGCGCTCTGATTGGTTACTACCTGTAATAGCCTGCATTACTACTCTCTTTACGCTTATTTCTCCGATTTGTGCTTGGAAGGGCAAAAACTATCGTCACATATTTCTGTTCTATGTCTACTTTCAGGTGTTTAAACTTTCTGATGTAGCCCCCATCTTCTGAATGTTCTACACTAACCCGATTTAAAGGATTTTTTTGAAGTATGCTGGTGTAAATTCTGTACTTATGCATCCTTTAAACCGTTTGCGTGTTTTTGGTGCTCACAATGAAAGTCGTGTCGTGCATTTAGTATCGCAAGTTTTAATTTTATACTCAAAGGGCAGTGAGGCTATTCTAATCTAAAGCATACCTTACATCTTTGTCGCTTCCGTCTAGTTTCCAGAAATATTGCGTTTTGAGGGGATTTTTTCCATATTCTGGAACAAATGTCACTTTTAAGAACAAAGACAAATTGAAACGGCATACATTTAGTTACTGTGTACGTAAATATTCATAGGAGCTGGGGACCAACAAGGTAACATTAGTTTACTTGGCCAAGCTTGGCCACTAGACACCAAAATTTATATTCCAACAAGTAATAATAAACAGCAACAGAAAAAGGAAAATTGTACCAGGAAATGTAATGTGTGAAAGGTGCGAATAAAGTGTGTGATATTCTTGATTAACTGGTACATTTCTATGGTGGTGTTTAAGAAACTATTTACAAAAAGGGCTTTTTTGTTTAGTAATCGACAGGATGTACTTTTAGGAATTCAGAATCACATTTTAACTGAACAATGCTCCTTAGAAAATATTTACACTGATAAAGATCATAATGCATTGGGCTATTGACAAATATCAGCCGCGCTGAAATTGACCGGGATTTTAAAAGTCTTGTTTTTCTTACTATCTAAACAGTGACATTACATGAAAGCGAATCTGATCATTGCAGATCAGTGAAAACAATCTACGCGGTTGTTGTTCAACTGGGTGAATCACACTTGCCTTGCCAGGGAATTACTTCACATCCTTCGGTTTGAAAAGCTATGTCATCCACGGCAAGGAATGCCTGCTTCGAGGACGTCTGCCCTTCAAGAAGGACCTAGTTACATCCGAAAAAGACTAAACGTCAAAGACTTCACACTTGTCATGATACTGAAGTGTTTTCTCGGTAAGACAAAAGGCAACATAACTTGCAGCTCCGGCCACCTATCTTTCAATAGTTGTTTCTTCGTTTTAGTAGGGAAGCTTCTTATAACTTGCAAATACAGTAAGCCTCAAATGCTTGCCCATCAATAAACAAAAACTTGGAAAAACATGCAATCAAACAAAAATCCTTTTTTTAATCTTGGCAGTTTGGTCCGTAATTTATGGCATGTTTAGCCTCTTTTGTCCGTTAAGTGAAACTATATCATATTGTAAATGATGCTTGTCGGGAAACTATCGGTACCAAAACATCCGATGAAGTAAACAGGAATCAGTTATATTTTAATTTTGGTAGAATCAGGTCGGCTGCCTCCTTCTTTTCCAACTTAGGACTGGGTTGCGCAGCATCAACCCAAATTGAGCGAACGAAGCATTTTTGTAATCCAATAGCTTTAGAGATTTTTATTTAGCTATGGTATTCACCTGGTATGGCCTTGAGCCAGCGTCGATTGGCAAGCGAAGATACATCCAATGTCCAGTTTTTCCTTGATCTTGATGAGAGACTAAACTCCACAAAATGGCTTTGGTTTCATTGATTATTAAAGACACCTTAAGAGAACTAGATCCGATGGTTTCAAGATAATACCAGAGCTGCATACAATTCCAACCTGCTTCAGGCAAAATGCGTCGACTTTTCAAAGTCCCATAGCATTCCGATTCTTTGTTAGTCCATGAACAACCTTGCAAATACGTAAATCCTCCTGCAGAATATCACGTTTAAGGAATTTACAGGGAAATGCTCAATTTGGTTAATTAAAACGCAGAGGGGCAATATACGTACCGAGGGTGTTTTGCCAATCCTCTTCCAAAAATTTCAAGGGGGAAAGTTTACTCATTCGCCAGTTGTCACTCGTCTTCCAAGCGCAATGATCCTGCTCAAATAGACATCCGGGAAGCTCTGTTAAATACAGCAGTTCAAAATAAAACGGTAACGTGAACACATTCGTTTAACCTGTGTCTTCGAACATATTAAGTGGTTTTAATCTATCACGACCAGGACCTTCTCAAAGCCTCCGGAGATAATATAGATGTAAGACACTAGGTCAGTAAATGATACTTTAGAATTCAGTGAATTCACCATTTTCGCACTGCTCATAATGCGCTCTGTTTAGTCCCCAAAATCTTGCACACGCATATTCTTCTCGGTTTCTTTTCTTTCTTTCAGGGACTATTGCCCTGCCCAGAAGAAATTGGTAACAATGGTTAGGAACAAATTGGAGAGTGGGGGCAAACACTACGTACTATGGGCAATGCGAAATTGTGAATAGTACTATAAATCATACCATTTAACATATTTCAAGTTCGACTGTACTAGGTTCAAGCCCTAATTGAGGCTTTCTTCGTACGGCCAGACGTTTAGTAGGATTTAACTAAGTTTAGTAATGGTAAACTAACCATTCCCCGTTATGGTGTCACATATATTTTCGCTAAGTAAGGATAGATCATCAACGGCAATGTCTCCGTAAATTCCACTACCAACAACCCCCTCTAAGATGACCTGGAAAGAGGAATCAGACGAGTTTAAAGGTGCCATATCTCAGTTCAACGAACAAATTTATTATTGCCATATCACTCAACAACGAGATCTGTCCTCGCTTATAAAGGATTTGTCATTCTATACAGTAAGTTAAATTGAGTGACGTAAGCTCACTTGCGGTCCTACGCACTGTCATTACAAATTTTCCAGTCAAGTTTAAAATGGTTACCAGGGGAGAATCAGTCAATTCGTGACTGAACTATCTGCCCATAGCCTTGCGTATTATGGTCGAGAACTTTCTTACTTCATATCATCAATCCACAGCAACAACAACAACGTCTGACTAGCCCTCTCGTTTTCTGATTGTCAAATCTCGGTAATAAAAGATCACCATTAGTATGGATAACAATTTTTAGAACAGTTATTAACCTAAAGTTATTTGTTGCAATGTTACCCCTACCTTGTAGTTCTTCAAGCCGCCTTTGTATCCAACTTGTCCAAAGTTCCATTTGTCACCTTGTTCACCTGTCGTATTCCAAACCAGCGTTTTTGTTTGATTTGTTTGAATGTAGACTTTCAAGCTTCCGACATCCTTTCCTTTCGTGTGATACCAAAACTGTACACAAATAGATTTACCAGGACCAATTATACTACTGACCAGAATGGCTCCCTCACCTGCCTTCTGCTCCGATGCTTCCAGAAATAGGTATTTTCCTTGATAGATAATTAGATAAATAAAAAGGAATAGCAGAAATAAATACATAATTAAACTTAGAAAGAAAAAAAGACTAAAGAGTCAAACCAAGTGCACCAGAAATCTTATCAAAGCTTTTGTCTTTTACACGTTGACATAATAAGAACGTTTAGTTTGGAACAGCTGTCAAGTTCAGTTGATGTATCAGCCCATCATTTACAGTAAGAGCTATTCGTTACTTTTAGCATTTTCTTTATTGCTTTGTTTCTAATATTGTTGTATAGCTATTTTAATTTTTTTCAAATATAAACTTAGTGCATCTTGCTGTTCATGTGATGGTTTGGGGCACTTGGAGGGGCCTTTCCAAGAGGGAATACGAAGAGAAAACTGAAATGCTTAAGACTTAGTATCACTCAAACCAAGAACCTTCAGGTAGAAATGTGGTGTGGTCATAATCCGGACCAGTGTTTTTTGTGGGTGTTGAGCCAGACCCAACGCGCCAGTTAACTTGTTCCATCCCGCACAGTCCATCCTCAAAATCGCATTTAACTAACACAATGCATAAGAAATACTTCGTAAGTAGAGAGCAATGTAATTTCTGTTGTCAGCAAGAAATGATAAACCACAGTAAAGTTAACAAATGGTAAACGGCTCAGCGTGGGCTATTGAGTTATGGATGCACGCGGGAGGTTGCTAAGCACGAAAGAAGCGTAAGAGTCGCAATAGGGGGTAGTTGAGTATCCTCCTCAGTGCAACTTAAACTCAATAGTACACGGTGAGCCGTTTACCATTTGTTTTATAACATAATCAAAAGGGAGCAACTTTTAATTTTGCTCACAAATAATAGAGGAAATGACGTGAGTGCTGTAATCTACTTGTGCTATGGCTTGTGCAAATCATTCTTTGCAAATTCTTTTCTTCTGAAAAAATCTTTGCAAACCAGGATGTATAAAAAATACAGTCGTACGGCTTTGAGCGCGCTAGCTTTTGTTACAATTCACCCATGGGAAAAAGTAAATGGGCAATTGACCAATGAGAGCGCACGCTTTGACTTTTGTTATGTTATAAATGAGTTTATTTGTATGATATTTCGCCCCGATGGGGTACCTGGACTACTCAGATTTCACCAATTTACCTGCTGCTTATTAGCAGAAATACATTGTGCACGTTATGAACAAAACGAATTTTAGAGAAGTAATTGGGTTCATTTTCCAGTATGGAGACTAAGCTTTTGCACTTGCTTTTTTGATAATATAATATTAAGCGACTGTTTCACTGTTGCAGGTAAAAAGTAGTTCTCATTTATCAACAAATGTAGGAGAAGACTCTTTTTTCCATACCTTTGTTTCCAACACACTGGTGCAATTTTAATGAATCGTTATAGTTAAACCAATCACAACTCAGATTATGCAACGGACAGTGCGAAGACCCTGAAGAAAGAAAAGTCCTGCCTAATGCATTCATTATTTGACTATTACGTAGTGTTGTTTATTATTACTACTTTTATCAACGTTAATATATTTATTTATTTGTGTATTTCTTATTGCTGCATGTTATACACTTAAACAGATTTTGATATTGTAACACCACGATTCCCAGTTAAAACACGGCGTTAAGAGAACAAAACATGTTTAATCTGCTACTCAACTAGTCTCACAATCATTTCTTCGCACATGGTTATTACGCCATGTCAGGTGACTTACTTAGAGGGGTACCCGCGGGGTTTGCCTCGCGCCACACTACTCCCCCCCTACTTAAGCACTGTCTCAGTGCTGGTCTACTATTTCACAGATCGTTTCCGAAAACAACTTCAATTAAACGCAACAGATCAAGTCTCAAATGCTCGTTCATCAACGTGCCCAGCGTCTACAGTTCTTAGGTAATGAAAGGCATTAACTTTTACTTGTCTAGTTACCTAGACTGTCCTATAATGCTTGTCAGTCCCTGAACATTTCAGGTTAATCAGTCACCCAAGTTCCGAATCGACTTGGTGGCTTTCGCTGCCTTGACGGTCTCCCACAAACACTTGAATCAATCCCAGGTAAACCTTGAACAGTCGACTCAGCTGTTTGACAGCCGACACCCGCCTGGTTGAGGTCATGTGCAACAGAGGTTGTCAATTTCGCACGAGGCTCAGGTTTCCTCACATCCTCAGGCTTGTCACCGTTATCATCACTAATGAAATCAGCATTCTGGAATCTCGGGGAAACATTATCCTTGTCTGTTTCCGTAGATTCCGTTTCGTTGCGCTCAACTCCCTCTCTCGCGTTAACCGGAGCTGACTGTCCCTCGTCCACGCAATTTGAATCCACAACCGATGTCTGTATCCCCTCTTGTCTTGCGCTCGATAACCATCTCTCCAGTGGGGTCCCAGGTAAGGCTTTAATCTGTCTGAGTGAACGACCTTAGGCTTTGCCTTTCGGCTCTTCTGAATACGGTACACCACATCCGATAGCACCGATATTACAAGATAGGTTCCTTCCCAAGGACAGTCAAGTTTGGCGTTTCTTCCCTTCTTCCTCCGAACGTTATGTAGCCAAACAGAATCACCAGTAACAAATGGTCTACCGGAAAGGCGTTTGTCGTAGTTCCGCTTCTGCCGTACAGCTGCTTTGTTCAAATGACGCCTGGCCAAATCATGCGCACTAGCCAATCTCTTTTGAATAGCTTGTGCATAGTCCGTCTTGAGTGGTGATACATCAGGCGGTCTCTCAGTTATGACATCCAGGGGAACCTCCAGTTCCCTACCCAACATCAAGAGGTTAGGTGAAACCCCGGTTGACTCATGAACAGCACCTCGATAGGCCATCATGCAAGTTAGAAGTTGTAGATCCCAGTCTGTCTGGTCTTGCTGGATCTTCCCACGTAACATTTCAATGAGGGTCCTGTTAAAACGCTCCACCTGTCCGTCAGACTGGGGATGCAGTGGATTGGTGCGGGTCTTCTCAACGTCTAACAGCCTGCAGACTTCAGCAAACACCTTTGACTCAAAGTTAGTTCCTTGGTCGCTATGAAGCTGAAGGGGTACACCGAAGCGACAAATGAACTCGCTCACAAGCTTCTCTGCAACAGTGGTGGCCTCCTGGTATTGGATAACTCTCAGTCCACGTAGTGAAATAATCACTAACCACGAGTATAAACTTGCTCTTTCGCAGGGTTTCTGGCAGTGGGCCAAGAATGTCAATCGCGATTCGTTCCATGGGAGCTCCCACCACGAACTGCTTTAACGGAGCACGACGTTTGCGTCCCCAGGTTTTCTTAGACCCACAGAAATGGCACCTGGCGACCAATCTGTGAACTGCTGAAGTAAGTCCAGGCCAGTAATAACGAGATTGAAGAGCGCCTGGGGTCTTCCGTATACCACGATGACTTGCAGTCGTATGACTATGATGAGCTTCAAGGACAGCCTGTCGAAGACTCTCGGGAAGAATGACCTGGTCAATAATCTGATCACCTCCGTCACTTTCCCATTTGCGGCAAAGTACACGGTTTCTGAAGAGCAGCCGGTCCCACTGTGACCACAAGGTCTTCACAACACAACTCTGAGGCGACACATCTTCCCACAATGGTTTTTCTTTGCCGGCTTCCTTCCAACCAATAATAACCTCGAGATGAAAGTCAGCTTCCTGTTGTTCCCTCAAGAAAGTTGAAGTCCAGGTAGGTTCTAACTTAACAGTGGCACAACGAGCATCAACAGGTTCTTCACAAGTCACAGGTTGTTCGTTAAGAGTCAAACCAAGTGCACCAGAAATCTTATCAAAGCTTTTGTCTTTTACACGTTGACATAATAAGAACGTTTAGTTTGGAACAGCTGTCAAGTTCAGTTGATGTATCAGCCCATCATTTACAGTAAGAGCTATTCGTTACTTTTAGCATTTTCTTTATTGCTTTGTTTCTAATATTGTTGTATAGCTATTTTAATTTTTTTCAAATATAAACTTAGTGCATCTTGCTGTTCATGTGATGGTTTGGGGCACTTGGAGGGGCCTTTCCAAGAGGGAATACGAAGAGAAAACTGAAATGCTTAAGACTTAGTATCACTCAAACCAAGAACCTTCAGGTAGAAATGTGGTGTGGTCATAATCCGGACCAGTGTTTTTTGTGGGTGTTGAGCCAGACCCAACGCGCCAGTTAACTTGTTCCATCCCGCACAGTCCATCCTCAAAATCGCATTTAACTAACACAATGCATAAGAAATACTTCGTAAGTAGAGAGCAATGTAATTTCTGTTGTCAGCAAGAAATGATAAACCACAGTAAAGTTAACAAATGGTAAACGGCTCAGCGTGGGCTATTGAGTTATGGATGCACGCGGGAGGTTGCTAAGCACGAAAGAAGCGTAAGAGTCGCAATAGGGGGTAGTTGAGTATCCTCCTCAGTGCAACTTAAACTCAATAGTACACGGTGAGCCGTTTACCATTTGTTTTATAACATAATCAAAAGGGAGCAACTTTTAATTTTGCTCACAAATAATAGAGGAAATGACGTGAGTGCTGTAATCTACTTGTGCTATGGCTTGTGCAAATCATTCTTTGCAAATTCTTTTCTTCTGAAAAAATCTTTGCAAACCAGGATGTATAAAAAATACAGTCGTACGGCTTTGAGCGCGCTAGCTTTTGTTACAATTCACCCATGGGAAAAAGTAAATGGGCAATTGACCAATGAGAGCGCACGCTTTGACTTTTGTTATGTTATAAATGAGTTTATTTGTATGATATTTCGCCCCGATGGGGTACCTGGACTACTCAGATTTCACCAATTTACCTGCTGCTTATTAGCAGAAATACATTGTGCACGTTATGAACAAAACGAATTTTA